GTGCTAAAAGAGAATGTTTCTCAAAGGAGGTCATTCATTTGGCATGTATATATTGATTACCTATTGAATGTCAGGCCCCAATTTACATACAGAATACTGAACAAAAAAGACAATCTGTTCTCAAAAAGCTTACAATCTACTGGGGGAGGTAGATGTTATTTAAGTAAAGATATAAGTGTGTGTGTGTGTGTGTGTATAAAATGTATATATTAGAAATTGTGAGGCTGGGCGAGGTGGTTCATGCCTGTAATCCTGGCACTCTGGGAGGCCGAGGCGGGAGGATCACTCAAGGTCAGGAGTTCGAAACCAGCCTGAGCAAGAGCTAGACCTTGTCTCTACTAAAAATATAAAGAAATTATTTGGACAGCTAAAAATATGTAGAAAAAATTAGCCAGGCATGATGGCACATGCCTGTAGTCCCAGCTACTCAGAGGCTGAGGCAGAAGAATTGCTTGAGCCCAGAAGTTTGAGGTTGCTGTGAGTTAGGCTGCCACCATGGCACTCTAGCCAGGGCAACAAAGCAAGACTCTGTTTCAAAAATAAACAAAAAACCATATCTAATTTAGCAATCCTGATAGTATGTCTCTTTTAACATTCTGCAAATCTGAGACACAAAGTAGAAGTGCAGTGTTAAAGACAGTATATTATACAATGTTATCCAAATTTGTGGTCTTCGAAAACAGTACTGAGTCATATATAATAACAAAGTAAGCCTGTCTAATAAGATAAATTTGGGGGATTGCTTACTTGAGTCAGTTAAGATTTCAAATGTGGTTCCTAAAGACACCTATCTATGCCTATTTTTCCTTATATAAGGTCACTGCAGCAAAACCTTTTTCCTCAAAGTTAATCTAATCTTTCTCTCCTCAATAAACCTCATTTTTTGTGTTTGCCTTAATATATATATATATATATATATATATATATATGTATACTTTTAAGCATCTTAATGGATCTGAATCCGAAAAACAATACATTTGGCCTAAAGTGAAAACTCTGTATGTACTTTTATTATTATTATTTTTAAGTAGAGACGCAGTCTCACTGTTGCTCAGGTTGGTCTTAGAACTCCTGAGTTCAAGTGATCCTCCTCTCCTGCCTTGGCCTTCTAGAGTGCTAGGATTACAGGCGTGAGCCACAGCACCTGGCCTAAAACTCTGTACGTACTAAGATGCAAAAAAAGAAGTAGTATGCTTTATCAACAAATATTTCTTCTCTTCTCCCCAATCCCTTGGATTGTCCCAGTGTTCCATCTTCAGTCCTCTTCTTTATCCACGTTCACTACCTTGATGATGGCATCTAGGCTTTAAACACTACCTCTCTGCTGATTGCCAAACACAGGCTGGCAGCTTACACCTCTCTCCAGACTTGATTATTCAACTGCCTCCTGGACTTTCCCTCTAAATGCCTAATAGATATCTCACACCAAATATGTTCAAAACTGAACTCCTGATCTTCCTTTCAAAACTTGCTCCTTCCCAGTCTTCCTCGTCTGTTAATGAATGGTATTTCCATCCTCCAGTTGCTTATGCCTACCTTGGAGTCATTCTTGGCTCTTCCATTTCTCCCACAAGCCCCATCTGATCTGCTGGGAAATCCTATTGGCATTATCTTCAGAGTACACCTAGGATTCTCTAACCTGTCTTAATCTCAATTGTTACCACTCCAAATTCCAAGTCTCTGGCACCACTGGCCTGGATTACTACAGTTAGCCTAAGTGGGCTTCCCTTTCTACTCTTGCTTCCTTAGTGTATTCTCAAACTAGCAAACAAATGTATTCTCATACCCTGCAATGGTTTCTTCTGCTCACTCTGCTTCAGCCACATTGGCCTTCTTACTATTCTTTGAACAAACTCGGCACACTCCTGCTTTGGGGGCCTCTGCCATGGTGTTTTGTTTTTTTTTTTTGAGGCTGAGTCTCACTGTTGCCCTGGCTAGAGTGCCATGGCGTCATCCTAGCTCACAGCAACCTCACACTCCTTTTTTATTTATTTTTCTTTCTTTGTTATAGAGAAAGCCAATGAAAGCCAACCTCACACTCCTGGGCTTAAGCGATCCTCCTGCCTCAGCCTTCCGAGTAGCTGGGACTACAGGCATGTGCCACCATGCCTGGCTAATTTTTTCTATATTTTTAGTTGGCCAATTAATTTCTTTCTATTTTTAGTAGAGATGGGGTCTTGCTCTTGCTCAGGCTGGTCTCGAACTCCTGAGCTCAAACGATCCATCTACCTTGGCCTCCTAGAGTGCTAGGATTACAGGTGTGAGCCACCACGCTCGGCCTGCCATGGTTTTTTCCTTTGCTTGGTTCACCCTTTCCCCAGTTCTTATCATGGTCCATACCCCTTTACCTCTTTCAAGTCTTTGCTGAAATGTCACCTTCTCAGAGAGGCTTATCTTAACTAGTATATTTGAAACTGCAAACTACCCAACACACTCCCAATCCCTCTTACCCTGATCTTCTTTTTCCTAGCAGTAATCACTATACAATGTACTTATTTGTGTTTATTGTTAATCTCTGTTATTATATATCCTCAATTTTCTCCCTTCAAGAATATAAACTCCATGAGTGAGGAATTTTAGATTACTGATGCATCCCAAAAGCTAGAACCGTGAACAATATAGCACATGTAGGCACTCAAATAAAAATTTTATTCACTTCTAACTTTAGTATTAAGGAAAAAAAATTGAGAATACTAAGACTTTTAACACGGTCATTCCTATGCTTGAGTGTGTATACAATTTGGTTAAAAGACAACATAAAGGTATACATTACAAGATAAATATCAATACAAGATAATTAGCATATGCTGAGAAATTTAGGATATTATAAATGATAAATGAAAGCTCAGAAGTTTAGAGAGGTAATTTTTAGCTTTTGGGGGAAGGCGGTCATACATCTTTGAGAATCTGATGAAAGCTACAGACTCTGATGATACAATAAATATGCACAAAAATTTTTGAGAAAAGGCTTGGTGAAGATGAGACTTAAACAAGTTTTTTAAGTACCAGCTATAAAGGGGAAAGGTCTTTTTTTTCTTTTCTTTTATTTAGGCAGAGTCTCACTCTCTTGCCTCGGCTAGAGTGCCATGGTGTCAGCCTAGCTCATAGTAACCTCAAACTCCTGGGCTTAAGCAATCCTTCTGCCTCAGCCTCCCAAGTAGCTGGCACTACAGGCATGTGCCACCATGCCCGCCTAATCTTTTCTATGCATTTTTAGTTGGCCAATTAATTTCTTTCTATTTTTAGTAGAGACGGGGTCTTGCTCTTGCTCAAGCTGGTTTGGAACTCCTGACCTTGAGTGATCTTCCCACCTCGGCCTCCCAGAGTGCTAGGATTACAGGTGCGAGCAACCTTGCTCAGCCTGGGGAAAGTCTTTTCAAGGAAGGGACAAAGCTAGGGTGACAGCAGAGCAGTTTGACTGGAATGGGAGATATATGCAATAGGAAAGGAACAGGCTGAGAGTTGCTGGTGTATGAGTTAAATAGTGTGGATATTGCAAGTCATGGAAAGATTTTGGGCAAGAGAATGTAATGTCTAAAGCACTGTTTTTAAAATATTAATCTGGTAGTTGTTTATTGGAGAAAAGTTGAGAGAAAAAGTGACATTAAGGAAATAATTCATGAAACCATTATGATGACTCAAGTTTGAAATGAAATGGGAACTGATAATGTTTACAGACTGATGAATTTGAGGCATTAATTTATTTAGAAATGCCTAGTTTAAAATTGAAACTCAGAAATAAACTTTAAGTCAGGCCCCATTATAGATAGGTTTAGGTGTTATTTATCAAATCCTTGAGTGTGGGGGGTAAAAAACTAAAGGTAGAGATGACTAAAATAGAGATTATTCAAAAGCTATGGATGAGACAAAGTGGTCTATTATTGTGATTATAATAAAAAATGTTGACCTTATATAGGATAAAATCTTGATAAAATGCTTGAGTTATATAGGTATAATGAGAAATACAATGTTGTGGTTACTTGAAGGCTAAAAAAAATTTTTAACTTTTTGGGAGGCCAAGGTGAGAGGATCACTTGAGACCAAGAGTTTGAGGTTGCAGTGAGCTATGATAATGCCACTGCACTCTAGCCTGGGCAACAGAAAAAGACCCTGTTTCAATAACCACCCTCCCCACCCCAAAAAGAACCCAAAAACAACTGTAACAAAAATTTTTAAGTATTGTAGGGATCTATTAATTAAGTAGGACTTTAGTGACTTTTTGGGGGCCAATATGAACAAAGACTACAGCTGTTAGTGTCAAATGCATTATTACATCATTGGCACAGTTTCTACTGGCATCTACTTGCTTTGTAATACAGAAGACATTTATGATTTGGACTTCTCCTACTTTAGAATTTACCTCCCTCCACTTCTTTAGTACCCTCCAGATATGATTTGAACTTTTGGGAATATTTCATTCTTGGTGTCACAAATGTTAGCTTTTCTCTCCCTGGAATTCTACTAGAATGTTTCTGTCACTTTAGGAACGTTTTTCTTTTCTTCCTTTCTTTCTTTTTTTTTTTTTTTTTCAGTTTTTGTGTCATCCTTGTGCAAGGGCCATGCTAATCTTTTCTGTATCATTCCAATTTTAGTATACGTGCTGCTGAAGCGAACACTAGAAACTTACCTATTCTAGTGCAACGTGCCAAGAAACCCAAGTATAAAATGGTGATTGTTTAATCTTATTTTAACATGCATACCTGTCCTTACATATTTAGACCCTGTAAATAACTCAGATTCCACCTGAGCCCTTTTTTAAAAAAATCAGTTACCTCTAATTTTGTTGAGAGCTCTTAATAAACTACTGAGCAAGTGAATCCTGTATATATCCAGTCTGTATCTCTCAAAGCTATTCCCTGCGCCCAACCCCTTTTCTCTAAACACCTAACGAAGACAAACATTAGATAGGAAATAAAAGTGCCAACACAATCTCCTTTCTTTAAAGTTAGCCAACGCTCACTACAGATGGGTATTAAGATGTCTGACTTACAAATACATACCTTGTACCGCACTCTTCCACACCCCTACCCTGCCTAAAAAAAAAGAGCGTGAAGCGTAAAACTTGAGTCTTTCGGTACCTTCTCAGGAACTGACTCCAGGAGGCGCAGAGGGCCTTCAGGGGCATTCAGACGGTCGCGCGGGTCCTCCTCAGCGCTTCGGGCGGGACAGTCCCGGTCCCGAAGGCAGCGCCCAGGCGAGGCGGCACGGCCCCAGCTCGACCCCGCGGCATCCGCGCTCCCCCCCGGGGTGCCCCACGTGCTGACCCCAAAGCCGGCGGCAGTCGAGGCTACGCTGGCCCTCCGCCCCTCAGCCTCCTGGGGACCTTCAGGGCAGGGAAGGAGACAGTTGAGGATGCTGCCCCAAGTTCACCTCAGCACTCCGGATGCCAGCCCCGCTGCGGCTCTCTCTCACCGGCTCCCCCCTGGCTCCGGCGGCGGCAGAACAGTTAGGATGCCACGTGCCCGAGCCGGCATCACCTGGGCAGCAGCACAGGCGGCCAGAGGCCGCGCCCAGGGGAGGAGCCTACGGACGCCTCGCCGCGTGGAGCGCGCCAGGTGAGCACGCGTGCGCAGTCAGGCCGTAAACAAGCCCGCCCCTTCCCCTTGGCCCGCCTCCACGGGGCCGGCTCGCAAGTGGGCGGGGCTAGAAAGAAGAGGCGGGGGGAGAGAGGGCTCCAGGAACGGCGCCTGCGCGGTGGGCGTGATCCGGGCACTTAGGGCAGGATGAACGCTGCTTTCCAAGATGGCGACGGAGGGAGGAGGGAAGGAGATGAACGAGATTAAGACCCAATTCACAACCCGGGAAGGTCTGTACAAGCTGCTGCCACACTCGGAGTACAGCCGGCCCAACCGGGTGCCCTTCAACTCGCAGGGATCCAACCCTGTCCGCGTCTCCTTCGTAAACCTCAACGACCAGTCTGGCAACGGCGACCGCCTCTGCTTCAATGTGGGCCGGGAGCTCTACTTCTATATCTACAAGGGGGTCCGCAAGGTACCGACCCGGGCGTCACCGGGGCTCGCCACCAGCGTGGGCAGAGGCTGGGAGCAGGGCGGTGACAGCGGGGCCAGGGTGACCGACAGGGGTGGCCGTCGCTCTTACTTTTGAGTGGGCCGGTAACTCCACCGGGTTACTCCTGAGGAAAGGGGATTCAAGAGTGAGGAGGGTGGTGGCGGTGGCGTTTCGAAGGGGTGGGGACTGTGGAAAGGGACCATGGGGTGCGGGGTTCCGTTCGTGAGGCCCCAGAAAAAGCCAGTTGCCTCCCCTCCAGCAGGGTCAGTCAGGCTCTGACATGGGCAGGGAGCGGGCCTGCGAGTCCCCGGAAGAGGTGGGGTGGCCGTCTTGTCTGCTTGGATCGCCTCGCCTCCTTGGAGGGTTGGGAGTCTCGCCCTGGGTTGGAGAATAGGGGCGCAAGCCGGCTTTAAAAGGTCTGTAAGGCGGAATCCGGGCTGGGAAGCGGAGGACTGAGACTAGGTCAGACAGAACCTGCCCGGCACGCAGGGCTACTCCACCTGCTGCCGCACTGACACTTCTAGGAGCCTCTCCTTTTGGTGTTAACGCTATTTCCAAACACATCCGCGGAGGACGGCTGTCACTGGGTCAAGGGAGCCTTCTCCTGAAAGATTGTTAGGGTCATCCTATCCCCACAGTATGGGAGGGGCTGCGTACTACAGTTGCGAGGTTGAAATGATGTTTTCAATGAACTGGGCTGGTTCAGAGGGGTTCTGTGTGAGCGTGCCCAGATTTATCTTGTCCAGCAAGTCAGACTATGTCCCAAACAGGGAGGGATATGCCTTAAAAGCTACTTTAAAGGAACCGTCATTCTTGGCGGGCTACTTAACAGTAATTCTGTGAAGCATGTAATCATCCTTTTAAAATATCTCTTTAAAAGCAGCAGTTTATTAGCGCTTTCTTTCTCATAGTTACACAGTTTATTTGCTGTGTAACTGTGTTCTCACAGAGAACTGCTTATTTTCGAGATTGGGGTCTTTGACATGACTCCTTGGAAGAGTGAGGAAATTAATGTACCCACAGCATCTTTGAATGGGACAAAGTGATAAAAGACTAATTTGTAAATGTTCAATTAGTGTGAAAATAGGTTGTACATCTTTAAGAGTGAACATTCCCAAGGTTTGCTATATCCAGATCCAGTACAGTATTTTTGCTTGTTTACAAGAGTTAGGGAAGTGACAATGATATCTATAATGTAGCAAGTTCTTTGTTACACTCAAGGTGAATCTTTTTTATTAATGTTTATGATAAGCATACTACTATGTTTAGGGTATGCTGTTAGAAGTTATTGAAAGTAAATCGCTTGACTTTTCTTTTTCTCTCTTTTGGAATTGGGAAAGCTTGAAGTAATTAATAGTCTAGCAGCTGAAGTTTTACTTCTGCTCTCAACTTTGTCAGTGACTTGGGTGACCTTGGATAAATTATTTAACTATAATTTGCACTTCTTTAAAAAGGGAATATTGTGCAGTGTACATGTTGTAATTAATAATATAATAACTATAATGAACTGTAAAGCCCTGAAACACTCAGTAGATGGTAAATACAGTTAAAATAAGCATTGAGAATAACTGTCAAACAGGAAGCTGCCATCTTGACATTGACTCTATCACTGAAAGGATCAGTTTTTTTCTCTGGAAATTAATTTAGAATTTTAAGTTCCAAAAATTTACATTTATATACAAATCTAATATGCATAAAACCTAAATTCACTATTACTAGTACAGGCATTACTTTTTTTTTTAAAAAAAAAAAGGGTTTTTTTTTAAGGTTGTTTTTTCTGAAGCATTTAATGGAAAACCTTATCTGGATCTGGTAGCCCTGGATTGCATCATAAAACAGGTCTCTTGCCTGGAAATATTGTTACAATAATGTTCTCTTTTAGAGGGAAACTATTCACTGAAGCATAAAACTAGGCGGACTTTTCAAAAGTATACCAAAAAATTATTTAAAACAGGACAAATCTAAAATATGTAAATTGCCCTTACCTGCATAATTTGAGCACTTTTAACTTTTTTTGGATAAAACTTCATTTATATGTGATATTATCTTATTTGCAGTATGTCACAGACATTTCAACTCTCCTCAAGCCATTGTAACTTTAAAATTTTTATCTGTTTTTAATTTTATTTCAGAGTATTACAGAGGTACAAACATTTTGGTTACATAAATTGCTTTTGTACAGTTTGAATTAAAGTTATAAGTGTGCCCATCACCCAGATGGTGTGTGCACTGTGCCCATTAGGTGTGAATTTACTCATCCACTTCCCCCCCTTCCCACCTGCTTGATTTCCAATAAGTTTTTTTTTTTTTAAGACAGAGTCTTGCTTTGTTGCCTAGGCTAGAGTGAATGCTATGGCGTCAGCCTAGCTCACAGCAACCTCAAACTCCTGGGCTCAAGCAATCCTTCTGCCTCAGCCTCCTGATTAGCTGGCATTACAGGCATGCGCCACCATGCCCGGCTAATTTTTTTCATATATATTAGTTGGCCAATTAATTTGTTTCTATTTATAGTAGAGACAGGGTCTCGCTCTTGCTCAGGCTGGTTTTGAACTCCTGACCTTGAGCAATCCGCCCGCCTCAGCCTCCCAGAGAGCTAGGATTACAGGCGTGAGCCACCGCGCCTGGCCTCCAATAAGTTTTATTTCCATATGTGCACATAAGTGTTGTGTAACTTGAAAATTTTTGTTTTCCGTGAATGAGTTTGCACTTATTTATTATTTTGAAGTATAAGTGACTATTTTTGTGGCTATTTTCTGACTTAAAATAGCACAAATAGATTTTCTTTAACCAGAAAAAAAAATTTATTTCCAAGAGTTAGTAGTTGTAAATCTATATTTTTGACAGTTGGCCATTTTTATTGTCTTTTTTTCCTTTGGGGCATATACTTTTTTTTTTCTTTCTTTTTAGAGACAGGGTCTTGCTCTGTCATGTCTCACTCTGTCACCCAGACTGGAGTGCCGTGTCAGGCACTCATAGCTCAGTGCAACCTTGAACTCCTAGGCTCAAGCGATCCTCTCACCTCAGCCTCCTGAGTAGCTGGGACTACAGGTTGCTCCACCATGCCTGGCTACTTTTTAAACTTTTTGTAGAGATGGGGGCCTTGCTGTGTTGCGCAGGCTGGTCTTATAATCCTGGCCTCAAGCGATCCTCTTACTTCAGCCTCTGAACATGCTGTATTATAGACGTGAGCCACTGCACCTGGCCAAAGCATATAAAATTTTGCAATAATTATTCAGATCATTCAGAAGGTCTCCTTTGGATGAGAAAATTCAACTTTAGTCTGCCTGTAAAATGAGTGGAAAATAGATGTTTTAAAGAACTTAAATTATGAATTATGTACTGCCATTCCTGAGAAGAAGCATGGGGTTCTGGGGAAATGGAGTAGATGAGGAAGTAGTCTAACATCTATGCCAAGGATTGTAATTTTGACCCTTTAAAAACATTTACAGGTTAGTGTCTAGAGCTAGAAGGGAGCTTTGAGTTCATGTAGTCTCACTCTTCTTAGGGAGAAACACTGCTGGAGAGGGGATGCAAATCTGTGTTAGGATTTTTTCTCATGGAAGATGAGAAAGGTGAGGAAGATGCAGCACAACTGGATCTAAAGAAGTCTTAGTCACAAGAGACTGATCAAGCTCTTTGGTCATGGGGATATAGTAATATTCCAAGCACTTCAGAATTTACCATTTTGCCATATATTATTTTATTGAATCCTCATAGCAATCTGTGAGGTAGATGAGAACATCTTTTCACAGTCAAGGAAGTTCAGAATGGGGTTTGTGTGAGATGTAGGTTTATAAATTTGTTTTGCTTAACTAAAAACAGTATGAACATTGACTCAATACTGACACTAATCATTTCGAGAAAGATTTGAGTGACCACTATGATGTTAATAATACAAGGCAAGCTGATATGGGGTATTCAAAGATGAGTAAGACCTTATCCCTCCCCCTAAAGAACTTTCATCTACTAGCTTTCGAACAATATGGCATACTTTGTTTTTCTTTTTTAAAAAAGAGGTTGTTTTAGGATAAAGATGTAAAAGGTGGCTTGGCTTACTGGACCAATCCTCTCATTTCATGGAGATCTGTTTTTACATGAATGTGAATGACTTCCATTCATATCTCAGCTTAACCAACACTTCCTTAGCAAATCCTTTGAATTCCCCGGGCTAGATCAGTTTTCCCCTATTACATGTTCTCATAGCATCCTGTACTTTGCCTTTCTAGCACTTTTCTCAATTTGTAATTCTATGTGTAATAATCTTTCTTCTATAAACAAAGCTCCCTTAGATTAGGAACAGTGTCTTTCCTGCTCTTTATATCTTCCCTGTGCAATGTCCAGCATAGAGTTAGGTCCTTACTGTGTATTTGTTGAGTGAATGACTGAATAAAGCCATGTCTGTCTATGCCATACTTTAAAAAGATCTTTAGAAGCTGAAAAACCTATTCAGTTTTGGGCCCAAAAGTAACTTGGGTATTTTTTAATAGCTGACATCTTTTTAAGGACATTTACAATTTGTTAGTAGGTAATAAATTTACTTTTCTTAAAATTAAAAAGTAGTATAGCAAGAGACAATGAAGTAATGTAAGCAAATGGCACAGATTACTTTCGATATACTTCTTTCAAGCTATGTTACCTTTGAGACCCATGTACTAACAAACAACTTTTTTTTTTTTTGAGACAGAGTCTCACTTGTTGCCCAGGCTAGAGTGAGTGCCGTGGCGTCAGCCTAACTCACAGCAACCTCAAACTCCTGGGCTCAAGCGATCCTCCTGCCTCAGCCTCCCGAGTAGCTGGGACTACAGGCATGTGCCACCATGCCCGGCTAATTTTTTTTTCTATATATATTAGTTGGCCAGTTAATTTCCTTCTATTTATAGTAGAGACGAGGTCTCACTCTTGCTCAGGCTGGTTTCGAACTCCTGACCTTGAGCAATCCGCCCGTCTCGGCCTCCCAGAGAGCTAGGATTACAGGCGTGAGC